GCAGGAGTTATGAATTTCGGCTCAGACCCCGCCCATTATTGGCGGAGCTCAATCCTGCCACCCATTATAAGCGTTGCCATCCCATCTTGGGTATTCCTACCGTATATGGACGCTCTAGGTCCATGGGGGCTGCAGTTATGATTTTCCGCAGACCACCCCCCCCCTCGTGGGCGGAGTCCGGTCCCGCCACCCACCATTAGTGTTCCTATCCTGCCGCCTGTACTTCTACCAAATTTGAACTCCCTAGGTCGATGAGAACCGGAGTTATGAATTTCCGGTCAAACACACACACAGACAGACAAACCAATAGACACACTTAGCGCGTTATATATAGTAGAATACGCCACATAGTGCTCTATAACTTCGAGAAATGTTGGAAGGCGGCGCATCACAACGTGATCTCGACGAACTTCTAGGCGATGGAACAGTCAGCCAAAGCCGAATAAAGAATGAAATCTGCTTCTAAGTCCGCCCTATCCACCAACGGAATCTCCTTTGAGATATCACGTTAATTGCCCGTTGAAAAATTGGTTAACGAAGTGTATTTTCGACGAAGTGGATGGCTCGATGGCCAACGCCAAGGCGTGATCGCTTTCAAGAATCGAAAATTCCTCGCCTGTGAATCCGGCCGCCCAGCAAATGGGAAGCAGTGCTTGGCGCAGATGGTGGATATGTTCCGGAGCAATTATTTGAACATGTCTTTGCCAGATATTGCTATCATTTCTTCAAGTAAAATTTGCTGGAAAAAATCCGCAATAATTATGCATCAACCTAATAGTTTACCATAAGGATCACAGTTGAACTAGATGGATGTATGAAGTTGTCGATGAGGCAGATTGTCAAAAAAGGCGGCATCGACATTCCCATCATATGCAGCTTCGTTTCCGGTCTCAACAGACAGTATAGAGCCATAGCAAGCAGAAGGCTGATGACTCACTTAAGTGGAGACACGCATCCCTTCATCGTTTTTTCTACCGAGAAAATTCTCACGATAGCGCCAATCCTCAAACGAAACGATCGCGCTCTGGCCAAGAACATCGAAATCACTATCGTTCTCCAGAAAATGTTTCTGTAAGAACAGCAAGATTAAGGTGTAGGGAGAAAGTCGCGAACAATGTAAGACGGTGTTTCCGTCGATACCAGAGTGAACACTGACAAAAACTTGCGCTCAAAAAACATACTGAAGGACGTACTGAAGGCTCGATCCCCGCCAGCTGCCCGACATCATTAGCATCGAGGAATGGCTGTTCTGTTCGCAGGATCTTAACCCATTTGACCTCCTGTAGTCCCAGATTAGAAGAGGAACCTGTCGTCTTTCTCTCTCAGTTTAGAACCCTTCCAAGCAAATTTCAAAAAAGTCGGGGAAGAAATGGGAGAGACCTGCAAGCCACATTTGAGGAGCTTGAGAGCAAAGTTTGAAACTGCATGCTTATGATCGACATTCCGGAATGTCATTGTTGCTTGTTCTTGCGTTGCACATTATCTAAGCGTGTGTATAAATTTTGACATCATTCTAAGCTTCGACGCATGAAATACATTGCAGTTTATTCAGTCATTCGGGGACGCATCATAACCGCGTGGTGAACGTAATCATAACATAAATCGGATTATGACAATCGATTTGCCGAAGAAAACACAAATGCGGTTTTAACGATTATGGAAACAACTTGATCAATGCCATTTAATCAGTCGTACCTACTGCAATCAGTTATATTCCACCAGTATTCAAGAAACCTCTATTTTAACTAGATTGATGGTTTGAGTTTTGAAAAGATTGAAATTCCTTTCGTTCGCTCTAGACACCAAGGTCTTGAAGTGCGTGTCCAAGGCGAGGTTATTCTATAGGGTGAATCTGAGATTTTAAATTTCATTTGCTGGCTCTAATGTTCCCAAACCTATTTCGCAGTGTTGAACAGTGCTGTCATTTTTGATGGAGAGCACTTTGATTTTCTACTGAAAGATCGCTCCGATTGCTCGAAACATGCGACGTCATGGTCAGCGGCCGCTTGCAGCATGTCACAATCGCAATTGCTTTCAATGACTTTATCCAGTTTGATATTAATAGCATATGTACTTACATAGAACACGATACCTGCATGATATTTGGTCACACAATTGGGGAGCCCTAATTGTACGCAAAGAAGAGAGCTGTCGACGCGGTCACATCTTAGGAAACGTCTATAGGAATCGTGTGTACGGACCTGAGCTTGCTTCCAACCCGTACTTAATATATGCGGCTGGACGAATAGTTAGTAGGTGGACTCCGAATGACCTTTTGAGCTCCTACATTTTGTACCAATATCTGATGTGGTACTCTATCAAAGACCTTGGCAAAGTCAGAATAAACAGATCGATCTTGTTTTCCGGTGTCAAGGGACCTGGACCGGCCGTTGACAGAAGAAGAAGGGCTACTGCTTTCGGTTTACCTATCCTAGAAACATATGAATGATTGGTATGAAGGAATAGTGTTGTGCTGTTCAAGATATTCTCTTAGTCTGCCCTTAACACGCTGGCGACCATGCGTCCCGTGCCAGTACGCCCGTGTTTGGCTAGCTGGGACAATTCGTCCCGACGCCGGGACGCAGGAGAAAAGTGATAATATTTTCGTAGCTTATGTTTTTTGTGTACTTTTTGCGGCAACGCTACTAAATGGACTGAAGAGTCTATATTACCCGTGGTCCGGGTAGAGCTAAAGACAGGAGGGAGATATCTCAGGGTTGAATCAACCCTTGGGAATGCTTAAATTTAATATTTTGAAATTTTTATTCTGTAATCAATAATAACAATAACAACAACAAAAAATAGAGGCTGGAGTAACTAGTGTGCCCCGTTTGGAAGCATTGAAGGTAGTCAAACCTTGCATTGGCTGCATGCATTCTTGACCTTCTTCACGTTGTTTGCTGCTGCTCGACCATGTTCTGCTTGGGCTTTTTTGTAGCATTCCTTGCAACGCCGAAAGCTTTCTCTTCTTTGAAGCTCGGTCAGCATTCGTCGGCAGCAAAAAACTTTTCACCAACGAAATGCCGCCAACGAATGTGGCTTGATCCCACGCGGCGCACGGTCAAAAAAGGGTGCGGTCGCCAGCGTGTTAACTATTTTTTCAAAAAATCTCCAAAAAATCAAAGTAGTACTCATTGGCGATGGTAAGCGAATCCGCTGAAGGATGGCTCTCCAATGATGGGAAACGTGAACGAGTGCATCCACCGATGTGGAACTCCCGAACGCATGCAGGAAATATTGAGAATTCTTGAGGGAAAGGCAGTGCAAAAAGTAATTTTTCATACAGGGTGTCTCAAGATTATGGGACGCCTATTTATTGCAATGAACGTTTTGTTAGCCGACGATAACAATGAAACCTATATCACTTTTCCTTACATCATGTACGAGAACAAACTACAAGCACATTTCAAAATATCCTTCATAAGCACGGATAGAGGCCCAAAGTCTGCTCTTGAAATCCTTGCATGTAGCACGCAAGTATTCCCCTTTCATTTTTTCCTAGACGTTCTTGCGTCTCGCTTCCATGACCTCAAACTGGGAATACTAATCCGACAAGTTCTCTTCTAATCAGAGACCCTAAAGAGGAGTCAGATCTGGAGGGCGAGATAGCCATTCCTCTTTGCTAATAAAATTGGACGGCTGGCGACACTACTCTTGAACGAACTTGGCACTGTGTGCTGGAGCACCTGTTTGAAGGGTCACGGGCTGTTTCAGCAAGCTGGGCAGGGTCAATGCTTCAGTACATACGTAAGTATGCTCTATGAATGAACGTCTTTGTTAACGCTCCGACACCGACGAAACCACGGGGGTCTTACCATTGTCCGTAACCTCCCCTAAAAACATCTCTTTGTTGTTCATACGACATTTTTTTTGTGAGAGAATGCACTTTTGACGTTTTTCTCGAGGTTGACTTTGTCGTGAAAATTTTCTGTTCAGAAGGAGGGATGCGTGTCACCACTTGAAAGAGTTAGCAAGATCCAATTTTTTGCCATGTTTACCTGGTAAATAAAGTGGCGTTTCTGTAGACAATAGGAATAGCATTGAGGCTCCAGCTTGACCATCCGCCCCATCGATGACTGCGATAAGTCCTGCTCCGATGTCATCCTTTTAATGGGTCACCCAAGATTACGATCGACGCGCAAGTGGACTATTTCGATAGTCCTACTTTAGAATATTCGCTTCTTAATCCCTCCAAGATTGTCTCTGACTGATTTTGCTTCTTGTATCGCTTGTTGGTCTGTCATTATTGGAATCGCAAAAGATTTTACTCTGCCCTTCCGCCTCTTACGTGAGCGGCATTGAATCAGCCCTCACCATCTTAAAGATATACGGGGTTTAATCTTGGTAAGTATGCAGATTGCAACAAAACCTTCTTATGCAGCTACTAATAACGAATGAAGTGAAATTAATCATAATTCTGAGACACCCTTTATATATGAAGCGCTAAGTTTGTGTCTGTGTATATGCCGTTTTGTGTGTCAGTTCGTGAAAAGTGACGTAGGGGCGATGATTGGTGTGAAAGACCACGTGCGCGCGATGAAGAAAGCATTATAAAATAGTCTATCGAAATCTGTTGACACTGCCTTAATTGATTCCTTAACTAGTGCGGTGGCTTTGTGACGTCGTTGACTCTGGATCATAAACTCTCTCTTTCTCATTGCAGTATGAACCTTATTTGGATTCATCCGATCTCAGAGCGATCAAATCTTCGGAAAAGAGATAGGGAAGGGTGAGAAAACTCCTACATCGGACACTACATATGGACATGCGATTAACGCATCGGCGTGCGTAGCCCGACTGGTTCTTTTAATAATCTTCGACACAAGAAAATCTGAAGTGACCAAATGAGAGTCCTGCCATTGGGTTGATAACTCACAAATCTCTTCCGTATGGACCACATAGAGGGCCTCATAGTAGAGCAGCAAGAAGGAAGCCCGGAGGGGAACGAGCCACCCTCCCGCTAAAGTCGATCAGCGAGAACGTCAGCTCTGACTTTATCTCTAGATAGAATTCTCGTTAGCGATACGAAGTGGCAAAGTGGCACATACCATCCCTGTAACACGAACGGAATCGGCAAATAATCCATATTTTTCTTCCGTGGTGTCTAATATAGCGAGCGATGCTACCCAGTCAATGCTCTTTGAATACTGTTCGATGGCATCATATTCAGCCCTGTTCAAATCGCCTATCCGTTTTCTCCCTATAACAGCAAGCAGGCTCAATTTAAGGGTGAGGTCAGCGGATGCAGGATCTCTCCTGCTAACAGAGAGAAGCACATAAGCTTCCTCTATCAGCGTGTCATCATTACAAAAGATCAGGCCGAGGCACAAGTCACGGGAGGAGCTCTTCGCAATTTTCATGAAATTATGTGAATGAAACATGTCTAAGAATTCTTTATGTGCGTTGCTGTACTCAACTACAATTAACCGAGTTCCGTTCATCAACTGCCAGATAGAAATCTCCGACTTATTGGTACAGCGCCTCGAGGGAGCTAAAATCCCTTACCAATCAAAGTAATTACAATCATTAGCATTGTGGGGCTCTTTGCAGTAATATTGATATAAATTTAGAATGACAACAAGTTCACAATCATATACATATCTTTGAACAAATCTTTGTAAACGATTACAGAAACAAAAAGGAAGCATTCCAACTAGAATAACAACTCAGTTTTTCTGAAGTCGATCACACCAGATGACCTTAAACTGGGAGCCTACAACACCTAGTAGGGGGGCTGTACCATGTTCCTAATTCAACCATTCTCGGTGAAAAGAACGAGAATATTGTTGGTTGAAGCGGGTGAACCAAAGATTTGCTTTTGACAATTGAATGAGTATTTGAAAGCTGACAACAGTTTGAACCGAGAGGTATCAGAAGTCTTTCTGCAATCCGGATTCAGACGCATCAGTTGAACCTGTACTGCAAGTGTTGTTAGCCGTAGCGCATGGTAATATTGGGTTGTAACCCAAGTTCGTAGAGTTTTTTTTCACAAGAATTTATTTGAACAAAAAACAATAATTATAATAATAAATTAATCAATCATGTATCAGTGATGTTCGCCCAATTCACGAGTTGTTCGGCGACCATCTTCCTTCAATAGTGCCTTCAGATGCTCTTCGTCGAATTATGCAAGCCGTCTGCTTCGGTGCGTGTTCTCAAATTTAAGTCACCATTTTGCAACTTTCCGAACCATTTTTGCAGAAGACACACCTAAGACACCTTCCCCTCGCACATTGCAAAATTTCCGAGCGGCTTCGCCTGCTTTTTTACCCGATGAAAAGCAAAGAAAAGCAGATGTCGAAAATGCTTATTTTTTTTCCTTTTGGATATTCCATTGTCGAGCCAGAAAAAAGAGGAACAATCAAATTATCCAAAAAAAACAAATAAAACAGTTTTGTAGAGGAGAAAGAGCTGCTGGCTTCTCGCCTTCGCATTCTTTGCTGTTTAGTTGCTTGCAGGGGGCCGAATATAGATCTTTATATTGGGGAGTATCATAAGCGAGGAGCTCACTCAGAAGTTGCTTGGTAAAACAACTTCAAGTAATCCAGGACAAAAATCATCCCTAACACCAATACGAAAAAACAAGAGAATGTAACCATCATTCACACCTAAGTAATTGATTAGCGCGAGTACACATTGTAAATCATGTTAGACTCCATCGGCCAAGATGAGCGACTGACCTCCTGGAACGCCGGAGACTACGTCCGAACGACTAAGATCACTATCTCTTTTTGATAAATTCCTACCAGCGAAATAGGAGCCTATAATTTGTGTGATAGACTCCTAACAGCGCCTCTTAATTTTGAGACACCCTATAAATAGAACATTTTCCATTTCGCCATGTACGGCTATCTCTGAACCTCGGCATAGAGCAATCGTTGTTTTCTTTGCTTGAACTTGGACGAGGTTGATAAAAAATTTTATTCCGGCTAACGTTTCGGCGTAGATCGCCTTCTTCAGAGCCTGAAACGATCGAAGTAATTTATGATTACCCGATCAAACGTATCAACTACATTACAGAAATTCGAGACCTCAGAGAACATCACGCAACTGTAAGTAGGGCCACTTACCGTTG